TGTTTGCCATCTCCTCCTCAGTCACCTCATCTGTTTCCACCTCACTTTCTCTCCTCCTCATTCTCACACTTACTTTTCTCCTTCTTCATTTTGTATAGCTCCCATGTCTTCAGACTCTTGCTGACTCCTCACTTCTGCTCATTTTTTGCTAACCGGCTGATCCAGCTGTTTCTGCAAGCAGCAGTCAGGCACTTTGTAATCAATTATTTTTAACACTGCAAAAATGGACAGTATACCTAAGTGCCCAGGGTGTTAAATGCAACTATGAATATAAAGAGCCAGAAATGTGTTCTCTCATAGCAGGTGCTTACCAAATGATAGGTCTACTTCCCAAGGAATAGTCAAAAGCACCCATCAAACAGGTCCTTAGTTTATCATTTTTATAGTAACAGTCACTGGTATGCCCAAACCTCAAATGGAAAAAGTTGGTTTTAAACTGAGAATTTGGTGTAAAACGTTTTTTTTTTTTAACTTAAGGTGATGATCCTTCTTTTGGTGTTCCACCTTCAGTTTAATTTTCCATGTGGTTTGTAAGCCGTAATAAATGGGTTTGTTCATTGTTCATATATTAAAGACTCAAGTAAGGGAACATCTGGTTTGCCAGGTTGAGAGTAAACCAAATTGTCCTCCAACGGCCGCAAAGGTTTACTGTTCCCACCCTCGTATACGAACCAGACTTTGGTTAATTAGCACCTCAAGCAAGGGCAGGTTACATGTCCTCATTCCTTCATGTTCATACCACACATGTGAGGTTTTTGTTGTAAAATGGTCACATTTTGGTCAAGTTTAGTCATAAAAACTACTTTGGGATCTGGGTTAAAGTAAGTTTGCAAGTTAAGTTGGTTAAATTACGTATGTTGGATGTTACCTATGGCACGTGAATGCTGTACATGTAATTTAGAAATCAACATTGGCTATTGGTTTCAGGCTGTACACTTGTCTCCTTGTTGAAAATCCTGTTCGACATGAACATTGGCCTTTACTGCCACTTCAACATGATTGGCAGAACCAGCTCCTTGCTTTAGCTTTCAATTTCTCCATATGCTATCTTAGCTAGTAAGAGTATTCCCAAACGTCCGCACTCTTTTGTTAATGGAAGGTCCCTAGTTTATCACTGTCTGTTCTGTTGACATAAAGTTAATACTTCTCTGATAATAGGTTAATAAATCATTCCCTAAAATCTGCAATTGCACATTTTAAATTAGTGGTTAATGAATGAATTTTGGACCACATGACCTGTGACTGTTTTACAGGTCAGCGTTCAAATGGTCCACTGGTCTGATCGGAGAACTAATGACTAAAAACACATTGTTGTCTTCTTTTAGGACATAACAAACAATTATCCTTCTTTTATTAACCCCTTGTAATTGACTTTGAAGCTTGTGAAAATACTTACTAAACTTTTAAAACAGAACTTAGTCTGAAGTTGCAATATAAAAATCCAGTAATATACCTTTTTAGAAAGCAACCCAGCTTTGAAAAGTATACACACTGCAGCAACAGTACAACAGCTAATGTGTCACATTGTAGCAGTGTTACACACACTGTTGAGCTTGCATGATGCTCATTGGGATTAATGAGAGGATTTTTGCATGGGACCATGATTTATTTTTTTGCATGGGAGCATCCATTCCAATCAGATTAAATTGGCCGGAGTCTGCACGGAGAAACTAGCCTCGAGCTACAGATTGAGGGGTTGCTTTGGCTTTGGATTTCTATCCTTATTGGCAAGCAAGCTCCAAAAAAAATCTTCTTAAATATAAAGTTAACTACATAAAAACTTAATAATTGAAGTACCATAAAGATGCTGAAGTTCAGGCAATTGGAAGCTAAACCAACAAAGCTTTTGCAGAATCTGGAACACCAAAATGTTTTGTAACTTGTTCAATTCTGGTCTTTTCGTACCTGTCCTTCTTATTTTCCCCCACCTTCTTCCACAAGTACCTTGTGTCTTTTTTTTTTTTACATACAAAGAATAACTTTCGACATGTGGTGGTAAATTGTTTTTTTGCATGCAACAAGGAGCTAACTGAAAGTGTGATCCTCCTCTTGTGAAAGTCAGTGTTTGAATTTCTCTGCATAACAGCTTTTCCCATTCTTAAGTTCTTAAAATCTTTAAAAAACTCAACTATTACCTCCACAACACAAAGTAATTAAGCTAAAAAGGACAATTGCCATGCGTGTACATTCATTAATTGGCACTGAATGTTGTAAATGTTTGGCCATGTGTGGAGTCGTTTGTGTGGTTCTTCTGAAGTTTAGAGACATATCATCTCCTGCCGGCATTTCCTGCTGCTGGCTCTTCTTTAGTTGAGCTGAGGGATCTTACGTCAGTGGCAATGATCCCAAATGCCATTAAAAAGCAGCACAAAATGTGTGGGCGGCCGGACTGGCTGCCCTTGGATGAAAACACATCATTATCTTTTTGTAGTTTGTGCCACTGCTGCTGTATATTAATTTCTATTCATGACTCTTGAACACTCCCACGTTGCCTTTCGTTCGCTTAACTCTGACACCTGCCAAACTTTCTGTAAACATCTCTAAATGTGTTTGCCAGACTGCAGCGGAGGCTGTCACAGTGCAAAGAATCTTAAAGTAGATGTAACGACCCTGACTATGGAAGCACTTTACCACATAGATAATAAAAGAAGTCCAGTAAAATGCTGGACTCTTTCAGGAAGTAATTTTATGTCTTCTAAATAACGAATAAGACTGGAGGAAAAAGCTTGACTCCATGTTTCCTGGACTGGCCTTTTGAATTCTTGTGTTTGTTTGTTTGTTTGGCTGTTGCCATCTTGGATTTTGTGAACCACAAGTGGCAATATTTGGATAGTGGATGGATAGTGTAGTGTGCAAAGGGAAAGGGTCAGCAAACTCTGATACTCGCTGTAAATGACATAATGGGGGGATAAAGCCGTATCACCGTTGAGTTGGCATCGGTGGTGGTAACAGAGGCAAAAATGGCGTCACTGTAAAACGTTGGAGGTGGTAGGATGGACGAGTGCAGTTAGTGTGTGTGTTTAGCTTTAGCTGTTTGTTCACAAAAGAAGTGCAAAGAGCAGATTGGCAGTGGAGCTTTGCCGTGGCGCTTGATGGTAAACTCAATATAAAAAGAGCCAAGGGGAACAGGAACGATGCAGCCCCTGATTGAAATTCTTCCAGTCTTATAACAGCAATCAGGGTGTCATTAATTGGACTGGGCTTCTTTCTGATGAGATTAGAGCTAGCCCTCTAGAGTCTGTGATCAGAGCTGCCTCTATAGCAACAGTCTGTAGCGGTTGCCAGCCAGACCCAAGTCACTAAATCCATGCAATAACTACAATTAACCTTACAGAAAGCAACATTATTTGTCTGATATTTACTTGAAAAAATATCACCAATAAGCTACAGTTATGCATCCTTTCAGATCTGCATTGTATGCAAGAAACAAGAAGTGTTTCCCTGAGTTAGCTAACTCGGTTTCCTGCGTTCATGTAACTCCTTCTACAAGTTAATCTGTGGTTTTATTTGTTTATTTAGCTTTATATAAATGTTTTGATGCTTTAATGCCAAATGTAACACCTTCATTTTTGTGATGTTGTTATAAAACTCTCACTTATTAATTATTTCCTGACCCTATATCAGAACAAAGAGTTTGCCATTAGTCACTCTTTGCTTGGTAAGAAAGTGTTGTTACCAAGCCCCCCATTCTGTTACTAGGCAACCACATGCCACCAGGAAGGAATCCATATTTTCCTGGAGAGCAAGTTCAACCTAAAACTCTACAACTTACTGACACTGCTGCTTCACTCACATTGTCAGCAGGATGGTGTGTGTGTGTGTGCGCGCGTGTGTGTGCGTGTGTGTGCGTGTGTGTGTGTGTGTGTGTGTGTGGTTTTCTGCCTTTTCGGGGCCTATGTGAATTACAAAACCTTGTGGGGACATCTTTTAAAATGTGTAGTTCCTCACTTCCTTACAATCCTGATTTGTGATTTTATAGTCAAGATTTGATCAGGTTTGGGGGTTATAAGCGTGAGTGCTGCTTGTGAGATTGAGTCCTATTAAGATGTGTGTGTTTTTGCATGTGTGTGTATGTTGACAGGAACGCATACACATTTAATCAGGAACTTTAAAGTTCAGATACTACTAGTGTATAATTTGAGTATTTTCACTTTTTGAAACTTTAAAATCAATCATATCCAAAATGCAAACAATGCATTGCTTGGCAGAAGTGATTCATAATGTGTATGTTTTTCTATCATTGTGAGGACGTTGTGAAATTTACACTTTTTGAGGACCTTTTTATGGGGTGTGGGGAAACTTTTGCAAATACTAATTTCTATGACGGCCTCTTTGATGGTTTTATCATCAGGGTTATAATTACATTTATAAACAGAGGACAGGGTGTCCTATTTGTCAAATATAGGCCTCACAAGGGTTGTCGAACAAGTGTGTGTGTGTGTGTGTGTGAGCTACAGGGCTTTAGGGATGAGTGGAGATTGGGGAGTGGGTCGGGAGTGTGTTTTGGGGTAAAGGATTGGCTGAGGGGTTGTGAGGGGGTTTGTGTGTGTGTGTGTGTGTGTGTGTGTATAAAAGAAGGGGGTGGGGTTGAGGGTTAGGAATCTGTTTACAATGGCCTGAGGGAGAGTCGTCTAAGCAGCCAGAGAGAGAAGAGAAAAGAAATAGTCAGATATCGAGAAGAAGCATGAGAGAAGTCGAAAAACAACAGAGAAAGAGCGACGAGAAAGGAAGAAATTCGAAAAGAAGGAAACAAGGAAAGGAGAGAAGGAAGTCATGGGAGGATTAATTCCAAACTTGAGGAGTCCTTTAAGGTTCCTGTGCAGAAGTTGCAGCAGGAGTCACAGGAGGGAAACTATAGGGTGATGCAAAGCAGCAGGCGTACCAGATCTCTGCTCCCAGCCATGCAAATAGGATCTCTGGTGTGTGTTTGAGTGTCTGCGCTGCACCATGTGGATGCAAACTTCAAAGCTCATTCTGTGTTTTTCTGTGTGTGTGTGCAGACTTTGAGGAGCAGTTGTACGACACCAAGCTGACTGGTCAGACGTTCCGGCATCCGTCCTCGCAGAGCTCTGACGACACGTCCACCTCGCTCAGCCGCTCGCCCATCTCCCTCAACAACAAGAGGCCTGACTTTATCTTTCTGGTAAACACACACACACACACACACACACACACACACACACAGAAATATGCATACAAGCCTGTTTGATTTCAAGTCACCCTTCGCACCAAATGTCATCTCTTTGGTAAACAAACGCACAACATTTCCAGATTATCTACAAATATTTGAGTTGTTTCCACCTTCTTGTTTCATATACGCACTTCAACACTTCCTGTAGTCACTAAACAATCTGAGCAGCTCAGCACACACACACACCCTGACACCTAAGCCATGTCCACCTCACTTACCTTTCTCACTTTTCTCCCTGAACACCAGAGAATAGACGTCACCACGCCAACCACCTCAAGCTAACTCTCCATCCCACTCTCAATGTCCTCTCTGAACTTATTCTCTCACTTCTCCTACACTCGTATTTATTTCTACTCTACTTCCTTTCTTCAATGTATTATTGCTTTTTTAGTGCAAAGAGTGAGTCAGACATCAGACTTTTACTCTACCTTACCCACCTCATTTTACAGTAATGTTACAATTCATTGCATTTTCCTGTATAAATATTGAGTTTAGCAATATTTCTGCCGAAAATGAATTTCAGCTGACATTGGCTTTATGAAGTTATTTTCCAGAAGAGGTGGTACGAAATTCTGCCGTAATGACTTTGAGATTGCCAAGAGGACATATTATCCCCCTCCTCCACCTTTTCAAACAGTCTCCTGTGGTCTAAATGAAACATCTGTGCTGTGCTTTGATCAAAATATAACATGAATCAAGCACCAGAGGAGGTTTGTGACCCTGTATAAACCAGCTCTCTCAGAACGCTCCGTTTTGGTGTGTGTGTCTCTTTAAATGTAATGACACCCCCCCTGAGTTTTCACCAATAGACATCACTCCTCTGTAGTGAGAATAAAAATGCCGGACCGGCGGTAAAGTTTTGCTCTAGTCTGGGGGTGGAGTCCATGGGTGGAGATACCAGGGGAGAGGAAAGGGTTTTATTTTACCAGAATCCCACTGTGACATCACAAGGAGAGCACATTAGAAACGGAGCATTTGTCTCTGTGTTGTAAGACTTATGCAGACCACAAACAAAGGACTGGATGGGTTTATTTCACATGTTGTGGGTCAGTAGACACTCAGGTTACCCAGATATATGTTCAAAAACACTAAAAGTGGATTTTTCATAATATGTCCCCTTTAAAGGTCGCAGTCACAAACATGTCTTACCTAACGTTTGGATGACTATATCATTTCTGTTTCTGGGTTTTGATTCTTTGCTCATTGAGAGAGTACTTTAGTTACCATCTTGAATCACTAACACAAAGCATTGACATTATTCTTCTCCAAAGTGTTTAAGAAATTACTATTTCACTGTCGCTGATATTGTTTCAGCCAACATTTGTGTTGTGACAAAACGCCTCATTGCTTTTGTTAGCCAAGCTGAATGATCCAGAAACTATTGTGCAGAATGTCCCACCCCCTCTTTGGGGTTTGTCAGAATTACTCATCATCCTTTTCACACGCTCAGCAGGTCTCCATAAATAAATGCCAAAGCATTTAGTGTCTCCAAGATGGAAATATCACTCATATTTAGAAATAGAAAATTACATAAGTGCTGTTCATTAGTCAGCTCGGGCTCTTTGGAACCAGATGGGGTGATTTAAGAATAAAAGACAGGTTGTAAAGATGAATATTAAAAACTCAAGAGGAAGAAAATATGATAGATTCTTTCTGTAAGTAAAGACTCTAAAAAGGATAAAACAGACTTTTTGCAGCTTCTCTGTTTCCGTTTTCTGCCTTTGCTGCTAATGGTTCTCAGCTTATTTCCCAGAACCGTGCCATTATGGCGGCTAGATGAACTCCTGCTGTGATTTTACTGCAAGATGGCTGCACATTTCCTGTATATCAATGCACCGTTCCCTTCAGCAGGCTGTTAAACAGCTCTGTTAAGTTAATACCCCTCTCTCTGTTTGGGCTAATTTCAATTAGAGTTTGGCGGATTCCCATGAGACGACTCAGGTTTGAATTTGTACAGTATGTATGTAGTGTGTCTCACATGGATTTCATCTTAGAGGAGAGCTTTTTTTCCTGCATTACAGCCACCTTGAAACAGTTTGGATTTCAAAAACTTGACTTTCTGTCTTCAGTGGTTTGTACCTTAGATGTAATGCCAAACAGCTGATAGAAACCATTCGCCTCCAAGCTGGGATTACAACTTCACGTTGACACCTGGATATGAACCATCAATATCTGGGCTACTTGTCTGCGTCCATCCCTGCAGGATAATCAGATATGAGACAATATTTCTATCCATGTACTTCTCTGTTTTGTATCTGCAATGGTGACGAAAGTGTAAAGCACCCCCCCCCCCGAGTATCCTTACTCTCATTCTTAAGCAAATACAACAAGACAGATAAGAATGCGATGTACACTGTTTGTTTTCCTCTCTTAGTTTGTTTTTCCTCCACTCCTCATTTCTTATCTACTCCGCTGTTCCTTCCTCTGCCTGGCATTGGAGCAGCTTAAAGAGGACAAAACAATTTATTTTAGTAGATGATTAGATGACCTCGGCCAGTGCTCATCTCCTCCAAGTTTTCGGTTGTATTGATTTTTGCTTTAATTGAATTGAGAGTTTACTTTGTTTTTTAAGCCTCAGAGTTGGAGAATGTTCTTACCTCAGGTGCTACGCTTTCAAAATGATGGTCCGTCCACAGTTTCTCAAGAAAGCCCGGAGGAAATATCTTTAAATTTGGTACAAACGTTCAGTCCATTAAATTTTGGTTATCAAAGGTCGAACCTCGACAGGGTCCCAATCTTGTCAAAACCATTCTTCTGTAATCTTCTATAAAAGTAGCCTGTCGGTAAAGACAAGTTTTTAACTAAAAACGTTTCACTAGAATTATTGGTTCAATTTCTGTGGAACTTCCTCTCCATTCACCAAAACAGACTGCAAGTATTTACTGCATAGAGGATATTATATTAGTATGGACAGACATTATTATAAACGATAACTATTACTGCTTGGCAAAGGCAGTGACTCTACTTTTTGTTTAAGCTAAAAACAAATATATAAAGAAAAAATCCATACTGTATTATTTTCCAAAGACAGCTCAGTGAAAAAAACAACTTTAAATTGAGTTAAATGTTTGGTACAAAGTTGGAGTTAAGGAATCCCTGCTGTAATCATTATTACAATCTTTCAAATGCACAATAAAAACTGTTCAAAGGTCGTTGCCAGTTTCTGTTTCGAAGGATTCAAAGCAATATTTTAAACAAATTAAAACATTTATGAAGGGTTTTCTTTAAGACAGGACCAGGTTACAAAAAGTATTTATCTTTATGATCTAATGTAGTGTTGTTGTGTGAATACTTACATTTGTACACAATTGGATTTCTATATTGGACATTTGCACAAATTCATATTTTTTTATAAATTAGGGATAGAAAACAACATCCACAGAATTCCAACCAGAACTTCTAGCAGAGCCTTTTAGCGCCGTTCTGTTCATGCTTTGGTTTTACGACTTCACTGGTTTTAGTTTTGTTCAGTCTCATTACATACCTAAACACTGTGTCTTGCCAAATTAGCCAGCTTTTTTCAGTTATAAATAATCTTTGCACTCATTGAGTAACACAATATAGGAGATGCAGTTAGAAGTTAGATACTTGCTGGTGAAGCAAATACCAGCTATTTAACGATATACATCCTCTTGAGTTTTAGGGAAACTCAACCAAATTAAGCAACAATTAGAGAGTATATATTGCAGAATAAACATCTCAGAATTTCCAGTGTAGCTCTGTGTATGCTAAATAATTAATTAGATGATTTGCGTCATCATTTATTTTAGAGGTGATTTCATCTTTGTGGTCTTGGAACCTTAAAAACAGATATACATTTATTTCTGGAATAACCATTCGTCCAACACCCTCTTTCTTCCTCTTCTAGCCGGCGTCCAAACAGCTCTACGATGATGAAACCGCCTCCTCAGTGTTTGGACTGAGGTCTGTGACCGACCCGTCTCCCTCACCGTCCCCGTCACCCTGCGGCTCAGATCGCCCCCCGCTGGGCTGGAGTAGTAACAACAGCAGCAGCAGCACCGCCACGTCTGCTACCACCGGGCCGCCTATTGCCGAGAAACCACGCTGGCATCCGGGGAGACGTGGTCACTTCCTGCCTCTCGACATTACGGGTATGATAAAGGACACAGTTTTACAGTTTGGCTATTTTGTTTGGGAATCATCCCCAATGAATCACACGGCCACATGAAAAGTACACATGAACTTAAAAACCAGACACAAGTTCTTTGAAACAAAGGGCACATTGAAAAAAATACTGATGAGCTGTTGAAGGTTTTTTCAATACTTATATTTGTGTTTTGCCCTTTTAAAAAGATCACAGTGGGGTAGAAACAAGAAAATAGATGATGTGCAATTGATTTTGAGTCATTGCAGTAGTATCATTTGCATCGTAGCCAACCAAGCCTCAGGGTTGTTTGTGTTGTTTCAGAGTTATTGAAGTATTGCTGAAGAAAAACTCTAGAAAAAGTAAGAACTACAGACGGAATCATATGTCCTAGTTCTTGCCTTAGAAGTTTTTTGACTTTTGGAATTCATTAAAGTTTCATCACCTGAACTTGGTTGATCTTGAGCCATGAAAGAAAAGGAGTATGCTTGGTGAATGTAACACAGGTGACTTGGATCTAGTCCAAGAAGTGATTGGGATCATCCAATCAAAACTCCAGATGCATACATCCTAAATCCTTCCTAGATCTTTGATTTATTTGATGAGTGATAGAAAACAAACCAACAACTACTGGATGTAGCATTGAGTTTTTGACTCTTTTTCAACCACAAAGGTTCCCACATGCCTTGACTTTTCATTCCGATGAGTTTCAGAAAAAAAAAACTCTTTAAAGATGTTGAGGTACGTTCTTGGAGCCTGCATTTTTTATTTATTAATCAATGTGTACAAAAACAGGGAATAGAAAAATGGATTCAGGAAAAAGCTGATTGTTGCATTCTTATTGTTGCACCCGGGAGGAGTGGTATTGATGTTAATTATTGGGTGTCACCAAGGGATGGTGAGATACTTATTGGTTGTGTGTTGGCTGCCTTCAGGAATTACTTGGTTTTATTAGAATTAATGACTGCAATATGAAAGTTCTCTGACAAATAATCTCAAATTAAACACATTAACCTCCGAGATGAGACCATATTGGAAATCAATCGGCACTTGGCAGCTGTTCTTGGTGTCTTATTTGAAAATACACAACTTAAACTACAAACAACTTCTCCAGGAGGTTATTTGTATGTTTTAACAAAATACTGTCTTTGCTGTCAATTCTTGATAGTGGTTCAATATTTTGTTCTGCACACTTCATGCCGCTGGGTTAAAAAGCTGGTTCATTCAGTCTGTGTTGTTCTCAAGAGAGTTGTTTTTTCCTTTGACAGTTGTAGAAGTGAGAAACATGGGAAATTAGACTGAAGGAAAATGGAAAATGTTGGTGAATTTTAGTTTCTTTTTGAGCTCGGTGTGATTTGAATCTAAATGTTTTAACAAACAGCTACAAGAGAGCTGCTTCAGTCAGATCGGTCAGGTCCCTATTTATGTATATCTTGTATCCTTCATATAAATCAAAACGGGTGACCTATGAACCCTCTTCACCCCCAGTGTGCGGATAAAGAAATTTGTGTTTTTTTTTGTTTGTCCTAGGCTGTAAACATGTTTATTTCTGCTGTCAAAATGGACATTCTAATATGGGGTGTGTATGGGACTTCCAGGTCTTTCGGATCCAAACCCGAGTGGACACTAGAGGAATTGCAGGGTTTTTGCACTTGGCTTCATTTTTCAACACTGGAGGTTGCCACTTGGGATTAACACATTGTCAACCAGTTTAGAGGCTTATCATCAGGTATCCATCTCTCTCATCCAAATATGGTCCCTTCTGGCTTCAAAAAAGCAAGATGGCAACCGCCAACGTGCCAAACTAAAGGCTCGAAACAGTGGGCCATGAACCAATGGATGATGTTATGTTGGCTGTGTGCATTCCAATCTAAGGGTGACATTTTGAAGTCAGGGTCAGCTGGACTTGGTTGATGTTTTTAAAACACTTTCCACCTTTTGTTGGATGACTTCTAGACCTTTAAATATAAAACATTTTAATAAAAGATGTCAAAAACGCTAAAAAAATCAGCAATACGTTATCAGAACAGCAAAGAACTCTCATATTTCGGAGTTTATATTTTACTCCCTGAATTCAGATTCCCTCGTTGGTTGAACATTTTGCATATTCATGCCACAAGTCATTACTCACAATCACATACAAACACACACTAACAAACGCACACACATGCACACATTAGACACAGGTTTGAGCTTAGAGCGAGAAAAGGCTGCAGAAAGTAGATCTGACGTCAAAAACATTTTCTTTTTATGATCACATTCACCATCGCCCTGGTCCATCTTTGGCAGTCAGCTCTGGTTGTGTGCATCGTCTTTGTGTGTGTGTGTGTGTGTGTGTGTGTGTGTGTGTGTGTGTTGTGCATGTGTGTGTGCTGTCAGAGCTGTTAGTATGCTGTGGTCATCCTCTGCAACATTGTTCTGACACTCCTGCTTCCTCTCGTCTCCATCGAGCCTCCTCCTTGTTTACTCTGCGTGCATGTTGAGAGTAAATGTGTGTGTGTGTGTGTGTGTGTGTGTGAGAGTGTGTGTGTGTGTCTGTGTGTGTGTGTGTGTGTGTGTGTGTGTGTGTGTGTGGCTCTGTGTGTGTTTGGTCCTCCTGGTTTTTTGGCATAGCAACTGCTTCGTCACTGGGAGCCTCTCCCCCTTTCTCCTCTTCCTTGTGTATCCATCTTTGGTTTAATATCTCTGGTCCCTTTCTCTCTCTCTCTCTCTCTCTCTCTCTCTCTCTCTCTCTCTCTCTCTCTCTCTCTCTCTCTCTTGCTCTCCTCACCCACTGTGCAGAGGAGGAGAAGGTCAGGTATAATGATGCACGCCTGTGGCGCTGGACTAGGTGGGTATTCACTTCCTTCTGAGACAGAGAGGAAGAAACAGAGGGAGGAGGACGAGGGAGGCGAGAGAGAAGACGGGGGAGATAGTGGAGTTAAAGCGAGACAGTAAAGTGTGTTTGACGGGAGGAAGACCAAAAGCAACATTTGGTTGGTCGTGTCTACATTCTGATTCTCAACATGTCACTGGCTCTAACTTAAAATGTAAATCTTTGAAACTGGGTCACAATAATAACATACTCGTTTTAAAGGCTCCATATTTCCCTGCAAACGGCTCGACACTGTAGCGTTCATAAGCTGTCACTTGGTAAAAGGAATCAATTGAATCAGGGATTTCTATTACTTGTGCGCATACTGCTAGATAACACTGTTAAAGGTAAAAATATAAAATAGACCCTAAAAAGAATACTTATATGAAATATAGTGATTTAACTATAACAGTGGGAAGAACAAATTGGAGTACTTTGGGTAAACACCATTTACCAAGTTAACTTGGAACTAATCTGTTCAGAAAATGTAGCTCAGAATAGCAAACAAATAAACCATACTGGCTTAAAAGTTAAAAAATGCAGTCAGATTTGCATACTGCATTTCATTGTATAAAAAGATGGACGCGATAACAGCTCCCCAAAAGTGAAGACAAATATTTGGAGCCCTGCTGACTGGCTTTAGTGTAGGTCATAAGCCTCCATGTTAACAGATGGGACACGGGGCAAACTTGAAAAATCTAAATGCATGTCAAATAGTTTTTTCTTAAACATGGTTTCTGTCATTACAGTTTGTTGGTATCACACCGATTAACGTCCAAGTGTTCCTTTTTCTAAATATTTTGGTCTTCACTTGAGTAGAGGAGGAAAGGCCTTGAAACGTTAACAATACAGTCGTACAACTTCCCATAACTTTGAGTGTCTGCTCGACACAGACACAAGAATGTGTTCTGCTGTGGACTGTACCGACTTGAGGGATTTTCAGTTAATCATCAAGTGAAATGTGTGTTTTCATTTGAGGATGGGTGAGTCCATACTGCAGCTCTACAAGCTGATCCCAACTCGCTGGAGGTATTTTGGCGTTACATTTATACAGCGAGAGATGGTCCAGACTCTATCAATGCAATTGACACACAAGTGTAAGGACTTCCTGAATCTTCTCCTGGCTTACTTAACAGCATAGATTTATCAGAACGTCCGTATTGTGCTCTAGTGAGCATTTACAGAAAACAGGATGCTGGGACTGAGTAAAAATATCCGACAGTGTTAATGGTGATGGATGAACATGTCGGGCCAGTGCAGCAGTGTAGCTCATTGATGTGTTTTCTATAGTTTGGGAACAACAATAGAGCTCTATGGCGCAGAGGTTTAATCTATATCATGCTCCACAAAGATAATAACAGTTAGCTTAATCAATGCTCTGCTGGCGTTTGCATCTTTTCATGGGATTTGTTGACAATAACAACAATACAAAAAAAAATCACTAGATTTACCCAGCTCGTCTCTCATCCCTCTCTCTCTTTTTCTCTTTCTCTGTTAACAAGCCGACAGGTAGCTTGAAGCCTGCTTGCTGTTGCCATGGTAACTCAGCTCTCTCCTCCTCCCCAAAAAGAAAGAAGACGTAAAAAATGTCAGCGCGTTTCGAGCGTACAAGAGAAAGAAAGGAGTAAATGTGTTTTTTTTTAGGTGAAAGCAGAATGAGTGAAGAGGATGACGGTGGGATACAGGAGTGAGAGGATGATGAATGAAGGATAACGAGAGAACATTTTGTCACTGCTTTCGCCCCGTCTCTGCACGTCTCGTTCGAGTGTTTTTCATGAATGAATGAGGTTGTGTCGGCAGGAAAGATGTGAATGCAGAAACAGCTTAGAGGCAGACAGTGACATTTTTAATGCGTCTCAAATCGATCTTCTTTTCTGATATAATTTGAGCATTTTTCAGGATAACACACCTTCATCATAACAGCCATGTACAAACCTTTTCTAAGAGCTTTTGTTGTTTTTTGATCCTCAATGAAAACCTTTGCAAGATATAACTACAAAGCAACATGCATATTGCATCAACAAGAGGCATAAACTGAAGCACAAACAGCTTCTAGTGTTGGAAGGACAAAAAAAAGAAAATACACCGACTGCATGACTGGAAAGAAGAGACATTGATCATGCATCAAATGTCGATGCACATTTAGATTTTCATTCGGTGTAAATTAAACTTAAATGTTTAATATCAAGGAAGGAAAAACAAAACTATGTCATATTATAAGGATGCTTCTGTTACAATCAAGTTGCAACTTCCTGTGTTGAAAAATGAAACCAAATGTAGAAGTGCACAAAACTGCAGTTCCTCGAGTGTCCACTAGAGGCTGGCTGCAAAAACCCCCGAAGTCCCTTACACACCCCATATTAAAATGTCAGTTTTGACAGCAGAAATTATCACGTTTACAGCCTGGTACAAAAAACCATCTAGGTCTTTTTAGTTACTGTCTTTATTGGCACACTCTCACCGAGGGTCATGAGCTATTGTTAGTGACTGAATGAATAAGATAGCGGATAGAAGCGGCTGAAATGAGCTTCCTCCGGAGGGTGGAGGAGACCCTTGGGCAGACCCAGAGTTCACTGGAGGGTTTATATATCCCGTCTAGTCTCGGAACGCCTCGATTAAACTTGTTGTCATGGGAAACCCGGTGTTACTATGTCAAGATAACGACATAAAATATGTAAAGAACTCAAGAAAACCACCGGACTTGTTACCACACTGGAAAATGGAGTGATATAAAATGTGTGGATGTATGTTCGCTTTGGGCTTCCGTTTTACGAATGATGTCTCCATCTTTCTTTTTTAACCTACTTCCAGAAATCCCTTTGACCTCTGCTAACCGCACAAGAACGTAGAAATCTCTCGTGCACTGCAAAACTCTTTTCATATCACTTAAGTTCGCTAAACGTTTGATTTGAATTTGGAATTTTTTTCTAAATAGTTGAATAACATGAGATCAGACTTGTCGTCTATTTATCAGTGTAATATTGCCATCCTCTGTTGTATCAATGCTTACCCGCCTTCTGCTAGATAAGTAAATAATTCTTTGCTGTAGTTTCTGTTTTTTAATTGTATAACAATTAGGCAGCCAGGCAGGTTGGTAAACAGCTTCTCAATGTTCTCATTTACTGACAAGAAAGAGAGGAATGTCAGACAATCAAAGAGGCGTTTTGTGAGTGTAGTGAGCAGAGAGTCTTTAAAAGAGAACAGACAGCTTCTGAATGTGGAGTTTAGCAGAAACACAGACAGGCATTCATGCCGCTGAGCTGCAGACGCTCTAATCCTCTCAGTTTACCTAAAACGCCTCCGTCTACCAGAGATGTGACAGGAGGAGGGAGTTTCGGAGCGCAGGCAAATCCTATTGGCCGCAGTTCTTATTGAATGCCAATCAAATGTGATCCGGCTCAAAGAGAGATGAAAACATTTTCACTTTTTGGGTTAGTGTTGACGAGATGGATGCTTGGTAAGTTTAAAAGTTGCATCAGTTTAGGTCCAGATGCTGCTTATGGCACTGGTGAGTTTCTTTGTGGGAGTTTTCATTGAACCTTTTGACCCTAAAATGGTAACCCTCGTGTCCTCTTTCCCATGGTGGAGGTCGCTGTAACCTAACTGGTCAGACTTAAACCAGGCACCCACTTTTAGTGCATCAATACACCTGACAGGCTGACTGTCACAACTGTCTGAGGGTTAAGTTTTAGTTTAAATTGCCTCTGTCTTTTGGATCCAATTGAGAGTATTTTAGATCAATCTGAAAAAGTTCGGTCGAAATCTTTTAGAAATTTGGATCTCGTGTCTTAATGTCGGAGACAGTATCAAATAGTCTTCAGCAACAAAAATGGTCGAGGGAGGAGAGTGGTAGTTTGTCTAATTTGATATGAAGACAAGAATGTTCCAAAGTTTACATTTTCATTTAATCGTTGCATAAAAACCCTCCTGTGATTAATTACAAAGAGTATTTTTAGTCAACAGCAGCCTGTTTAAAAGAGTCTTTGCGTTTTCACATGGTAGATGAAACCTTTAACATCCGAGTTTCAAGACAAGGTCTCTGACTGCGGATGAGTCCTCATCATCCACAACACTCACAGCAGGCAGGAAAGCAGTGAAGCCAGGGCCATGGTGAAGACACATTATGATGAATGAATCACTCTGATGGAGGCCTCTGATAGTTGAAGTAGGGCCTATTATCAATAGCTGCAGATGCAACTGAAAAGACTCTCAATGAGGCTGAAAGAAAAGACGTGACTGTGTGCACGTATGGAAGCTTGCCGCCCGGCACTGAAGGCTGCAAAATTGTCACTTTGTCTGGTTGAATTCAGCGATAAACAGACAGGCAGTCCGGCAAGAAGTGTGTGAGCGCATGACAGCCAGACAGGAGGTCATGTTTAGCCCTCGCTCGGTGGCTGAGTCATAGCCGAGTCTCTGCTGGATGGCAGTAACCGTTTCATCCCAAACACTCTCATTTATTCATGCAGGGGGAATAACCATTGCAATGGCACTCGGCAAATGAGCTTCACTGACAGACCGTCAAGAAAATAGACAAAAGATGAATTAAATGTAAACAGGTAAAAAAACAGAGAAACAGGAAGTTAATAAATTAAGGATTTTTCTTTTCTCTGATAACAGAAAAATGACCATGGCGCATCAGTCAGGGTTGATTAGGTTCAATTAAATTGTTGATATAATGATTATCACACCAGGAAATTAGATTATTTGTAGCTGCCAAAACACATTTGGTGCCCAAAAGCTGCCGTATATTTTTTGTAAAGACGCTCCTGGCTTGATAAATATCACATCATTAATTGATTTGATGATTTGCAGCCTGCAAGTCAAAGACTTTTTAGATATCTGGGTTGAAACCAGACTTTTAAAAAGTTTTAAAAACATATTCGTCGGAACATTATTTATGTGTTACTTCAATTGGAGTTTTAAATGAACAAATTGATTACATTATTGGCTTTTAAAGTAAGAAACACGACAGTGAAAGGACAACAGAGTGGTTTCACTTTTGAGTGAACGTTTGTTTCTGGTCCCGTCTCCATTGTCACAATTGTTTGTGGTTTGCAAAACAACCAGTTATTGAATTTGACAGCATAATAACTTATTTGTGAGGAAACAAAAAGCTCAATTTGTTATATTTTTGCTCACTGAGACCCCATTCGAGTCGGGGGTTATAAAAGAAAATACTGATTTGTTCCCCTAACTCAGTTTCTTTGGGCACTGGTGGCGTTATGCCAGTGTACTTTTTCATCGATCCGATTTGATTTGATTCATCTTCTGTTTTGCTTCATTGATTGTGTGTGTCTGTGCGTGTGTGAGTGTGTTTATGTCTGTCTGATTTATTACTCAGCCCTCATTCTCTGAGGAAAACAAAACTTCACTGAAAGGGTCCCTTTTTTGGAGAAGATAAATTCTCTCGGAGTAGACTGCATACCAAGATAACTGTCGCTATAAAACAAGGCCGATGGCTTAATAGTAGTCTGACTGATTTATGCCGACAAGTGAGTCCTCTTGTCATTGAGGTAATCAAGTAGGTGTCTGCTTTCTCTGATGACTCACTGGATTACTGTCAGCCCAGAAAAGACATCTAGGGGACAGGGGGTAAGACAGAACAGCAGGTTTCTCTGTAGCATCTGCTTGAAGTCACTCAGGATTTTAAATATGGCAGCAGAAAATGTAGAACATAAACATAACGTAGGTTTATGGTGACAGTATGAGGAAAAGGCAGCTGTTCAAACATGGGGAAGGTACATCAGCTTAATGTACTAATGTACTCTGACATCTCCTTACATATGCTCTTGTTCTTGTAAGGAACCAGTGCTGAACAACCTGTTGAATTGGAATAAGAGAAGTGATGCAACTGCGTAATAGGGGCTCAAATATCAAAGATCAGGTTTTGCAAAATCCAGGAATCATGGCATTATGCACCAGAAACCAGACGTCAAAAACCACAAAATATAAATAATAACATCCTCAAACTGCAAGTTGTATCCTTTCCGGTCAGTCTCTTAACAAAAATAGATTCTAACCTGGGCAAGCCACGCTCGGTGTATTGAGAGTTATAATCAAATGCTGAATTACCATGTCAACAACATGATTGAATTTTGTGCTTCATTGAATTCCCTTGCTGCCTTGTTGAATTGCTCTCCCCATTGTCTAACCGACCGCCCCTGTTCCTTGGGTTTCTCCTCCAGGTGAAACAGGAGGAGGGAAATTCCACGGCGTCGACCTCCTCCAGCACTCCCCATCCCCATCCCCCTCTCCAGGAGACCCCTTCCCCCACCAGCCCCGCTCGCTGGAACCTGTCACAGACACCTTCCAGCAGAACCTCCCCCTGAGGAAGACACACTCTGACCTCGACACAACCTTACCTGCAGGTGCGTGTGGGACCACTGAGGAACCTCTGAACTCCCTCTCAGTGATTTTCTTGTCTTTTTTTTCACATGTTCCTGGTGCTCCAGGTCTAGTTTATGCTTACGTAAACTGTTCACCATCATCACCAAATGATAGAAAAGAGGAAAAAGAAAGCAACAGGGCATCATAAAAAATGCAATATTTCCAACCCCAACCATTGGCATGCTGGCAGTGAAGTTTCTGTTTTATATATTTTTCTAAAAACAAGATGCTTAGAAACTTGATAAGACACAATGTTCTGCTTTTTTTTGAGCTGTAAGAACATTTCCCTCTTTTATTTGGTACCCTTTTACAAGGTAGAGGTTGGACCATGTCGGCTTACTTTATGCACAATAATACTACTTTTTAAAACATTTTTACATGATCGTGAAAGGTAATCCTCCCTCTTCCCCATGTTTCCCACAGATAGCACCTTGGAGCAGCGTGCACAGGACCAAATTCACCAAGGAACTATGGACCACTCTGGGCTGTTATGCTCAAACACACCTACCGCTTCCTGGAACGGCCCTAAGGGCTCCACATTTTCTCCTGGAGGGTGGAACGAAACATACAGTTACAGCATGAACAAGGGCCCAGTAGTTCCGCCCAAACAGCACACAATAATCGGTAATGCAGGAGGAGGGAACCAAGAGAGGGTGATGTTGGTGGGCTCAGGACAGTCGGTGAGCTCTCATTCCAGTTCATTCACAGCTGTGACAAACCCTTCTGGGAGAGGAGGGAATAAAATGCCAGGGATATCTCTGGCAGCCGCAATGATGGGGAAGCGGAGTGAGACGGAAGGGGCAGCAGCAGATGGAGGGAGAGGAGGAGGAGGTGGAGGAGGAGGGGGAGTTGGGGAGGCAGGGAGAGGACGGGAGAGGTCGGCACGTTCCATCGCGGCAGCCAATGCCTTCAAGTTCAGGGAACGTTCCCTTTCCACACCCACGGATTCTGGTTCCTTCTGCTTTTCAGAAGGTGGGTTAGGCCAGCCGGATGGGAATATAACAGACAACCAACAACAGCATAACAACTTCCTGGGTGAGAACTATGCGCTTCTCTACCCCAGAGGGAGCTCCGAAGATAGTGCCAGTACCACAGACACCATCTCTGTCACAGCTTCAGACTACAGTGCAGATGGTCGGTTGCGCCTACGCTCCCGCTCGATCTCGCTTAAGAAGTCAAAACGCAAGCCGCCACCTCCTGTGAGGAGTGTCTCTCTAATGAAGAATCTTGGAGAAGCTGAGGGGAGAATCCACCATAAAGGCAGCCTTTATCGGGATGGCCGGCCAAAGAGCTTGCATATCCCAAGGGACCACTACCCAGACTTCCAGCCTGATTTCCTTCTGCCAAGCTCATCCTGCACCTCTAAACCCAGTGTTGGTGAGCGGGAGCTGAGCCAGGTAGGCCCTGATGGACCGCCAAGCCTTGAGATCCAGGCACCAGAGAGGGAGGGTGAGACAGACATTACCTTCCAAAATCACTGGCAGCTTGGGGATTGGAAAAATGACCCTTACAGGTAAACATTATGGCGCATGTTGATTTCTGTTAGACAAAGACTTAAAATGTATTTAATTCTACTTTATCAACCAATTCTCCTTTTTTCTCTCTTTTAAAGGTCTCTGTCAGGCTCCAGCACCGCAACTGGTACCACCGTCATTGAATGTATGAAAGTCAGAGGTAGTTCAGAGTCCTTGCTTGATTCTCCTGCCACCTCCAGAGCCACCTCACCCTCACAACTCTCCATGGAAACGGACGTCAAGGCGTCTTCACCTTTCAGACCACCTGGACTCATGTCCCCATCAAGTGGCTATTCTAGTCAATCAGAGACTCCCACCCCAACTGTTCCACTCAGTCAAATGGCAGGGCATGGGACAACGGGGACAATGGGGACGTCGGGTTGTAAGTTGCGCCCTAAGATCCCAGAAAGGAAATCATCGCTCCCATCACCCAAAGACCCAGCTGCAAGGTCGAGATTGTCCTTTGAGATGCCTGTAAATGCCCATCTAGAGCTGTCATCCATTAAGCCAAAGCAGAAAGCTAGCAGACGGCATTCTGACACCTCAACAGCCGCAAAACCAGGAAAAGGCAGTCCCGGCTCTTCACAAGCATTGCCTGTGGTTACCCAGAATGAGCTGAAGACTATAAGGCTTCGCTCTATCTCTCGTGGTGACCTGGAAGACTGTCCTGATGGGGCCTCTGACACCATCGAAGAAGAACAGCATGGGCGTGACCTAGGTGAAGACCCAAGCCCTCCACCCACCCTACCTAAACCCAAACCCCCTGTTGCTGTCAAGCCCCCACTGCCCAAGCGACCCCTTAACCTTCTCCTCAAGTCTCCCTCCCCTTCTTCCACGTCCCCCCTCGGCCTTGATTCACCTCCTGCCTCACCCATTGATCGGCCTGTTCCCCTAGGCAACATCTACAAAGTCATGAGAAAACCCAAACCCAAAAAATCTCCCCCACAAACTGCAACAAGTCCCTCTGCTCCCCATGACTCTTCCAGTTCATCCCAAACTGCCTATGACCATTCATTCCTCCCCAACTCGCAGTCCCTCTTTGATCTTCCTCCTCTTCCAGACCCCCAGCCTCTCCTGGAAGACCCAACGATGGAGCCTGAATTTGAAGGCAATCAGGAGATCCGTCTTGGTCCTGAGGATGGAGGATCACTCCCATCACCATGCAGTAACCAGGAAGCCCCGGAGCTCCAGGACAAAAGCAAGACACTTCCCTCAAGGATGACAATCTCCTGTTTGGCAGAACTGTCAGACAAAAAGAAACCCAAGGTTAGGAACGCTTCTCTCACAAAATGGTTCATGTAGCAGGTGTCTTTGAACGTAAGATCAGCAAATGTGTCTTTAATGCAAACAATGGGAATGGAATTAGAGGTAGAGTTAAAGAAGGTAGCGATTTTATGTCTTTGTGTGATTTTTGGATGTTAATCTGTTCTTATTACTTTCCAGGTTCCACCTCCAGTACCCAAGAAGCCAAATGTCCTGCTTCTTCCCTCGTCAGCCCACTCCTCTACCAATGGAAGCACAGATAGGCAGACGCCACAGACTGACAGTCCTGTGGGTCTTCGCTCACCTGTGGGAGCATTCTCACCTGAAGAGTTTCCGAGCGCTCCCAATGTGTACGATATGCCCGAGCAGGAGGAGAACCACTTGGAAATAGATGAGGAGAGCTCTAAAGAGTCGTCTCTTCAGGATTCCTCCCTCACAGAGTTAGGAGGGAAAATGGCCAGCACTGGGATTGGAGAGGGTAAGTTTATCAGAGGCAGGTTCAAACTTTTGTCTGGACATGGGTCACAGGTTATTAAAAAATCAGACATTATCTTTTGTAAGCATCAGGTTTGAGTCAAAATACAGAGATCTTCTCTGTATTTTAACTCAATGAATTGAACCCTACCATAATGCAGAATTTGCTAAACCATGTAAGCTAATACATTTGTTTCTAATGAGTGTTGTAGAAAAAAACTGTGGTGCATCTAACCTTTCAGTTATCATTTTCTTTGCATGTGTTTAATGATAGCCTGTCAGAGCTGCTACCGTTGATTAGGATCCTTCCCTGTCGTGTTTGATGCATAACCTCATTAATCTGCTTGGGCAGATTTCTCATCTTTTAAAGTAAAGCCCTACTGCTCTAAAATTGGACCAAATCACAACAATAGGGTAGTTACTTCTGCGCGTAACAGTGCAGTTTACATCTTATATTATCTTATTATTCTCAGACAAAGTATGTGGCTATGTCATATTTTCTTCAATTGCAAGTGACAAACAAAAACAAACCAAATCAAGCAGAAATGTAAAGATATAATGTGATTAGCAAGAATCAAAAAAAGTAAAATATGCAGTTTACAAAAACACAATATGTATTGATGTGTCACGCTTTCTCTGTCTTGTTTAGAAGATTCTACAGCCAATGAGAAGACAGTACTCCATATTGCAGAGGAAACAGATGACGACTTGTTGCCCAGCACACCTGCAACACACACCACCGAGGACCTGTTCACTATTATTCACAGGTTTGAAGATAAATACGTCTTCTCAGATTTCAGACAAACAGAAATATGACATAAAGAACGATGCAATAGTATATACAAACATTGATATTACAGCAGATCCCTTTCCTCAAAAGGAGGATTGACAGGTTAAAAGTGTTACAGTTTGTTTTGACGGGCCAATCTAAGCATAGGCAAAAAACATTTCCAGCCAACAATAAGCTTGCCAGCTTATTATAACCTGGAGAATGTGACAGAAGACACTTTGCTTTGTTGAAAGGTGTGAGGCATACAGAGCATTAGGTTTCCTAGCAACGGCTACATGTATAATGGGTGACTGCACGACCAGTACTTCTTATTCAGTAATTTTTTCAGGATCTCTTTCTCTTACACTCACACACACACACACACATTACAAGAAAGCTAGTCTCCAAGCAACAAGTGTTCATGATGTTACCTTGCACAGTGCTGAAAATAGCTCAAAACGCGGAGAAGAGAAGGTTTGGAGGGAGAAAGCAAAGCACAGGAGATGCTTTCAATTCTTAATAGAGAAGATGGAGTCCCTTCTGAAGTAACACATTGTTCTCCATAAGAGAGATGTTAATTTTTTTGATTAATCCCCTCCCCTGCCCCTCACAAAGGATAGAGACTTTTGATGTTATCTTTTCTTCCTGTTCTTCATCCTTGCTAATAATCTTCCCATCCCTTCATTGCCCAGGTCCAAGCGAAAGGTTCTAGGTCGTAAGGAGCCATCGGACTCCTTCGGTAGCCGCCAGAGCCTTGTGTCGCCAGTGAAGCACAGCACCAGTGGAAGCGATCTCCGAAATCTTACCTTAGGCTGCAGTCAAAGGTCAAGCTCTCGCAACGAGAACTTCATGGCCCTGCTTCAGAAGAAAGGCAGCAAGTCTTCCAGCGGAGCAACCAGAGTCTCCGCGATGGAGCTTCTCAAAAGCACAAACCCTCTTGCGCGACGGGTCACAGAGTTTTCAACCACTATTTCAACAACCAATGAGGGGGGAGATGCGGAATCCGGGTACGGCAAACCAAACGATCAATGAAAGGTTTTGTTAACAATTGTTAACCAGGTCTGACACAGTTACCAACATATTCTACGATGCACCATTGCAGATTGGGCATTCTGACCAAAACGTCCAACTGGATCGCTCCAACTACTGGCTGACCATTTGGGCTGTCCAATCCAATTGGAGCACAATTTTGGACAAAGTAGCCCCTCCCATGGTTGAAGCACTATTGATCCCTATCAAACTGGTCCCTTTAGGAAAGTGAGAAATCTGTGGAGAGCACATGTTTTTCTTGCTGTATTTTCAACCAAAGGTGGAGGCCTTGAGGATACTCTTCAATACTGCATCCACCAAGTTTCCAGTGTTTGGGATATGCTCACTGTGGCGACTGGATGGATAAATTGAGAGATGGAGATCATATTAGGAATATGTGGATATACAGTGGATACCTTTTCTTCAGGATCCATCCTGATCAAGACATCAAGAATAATCGATGGCATACATACAGGATACTTCAAAAGAGCAGTCATCAGAGAAATCTAAGAAATAAATGGAATTAAATACAGAAGATGTGACATTTCCAAACGATATGTCAACCATTCCATGAAAAGTACCAATTGCGCCACAGCACCAACACCTGTGGAACTACATGAAATGAAGGATTACTATTTAACAATGTGATGAGACCCCAGGGAAACAAGTTCGCCCCAAACCTTGGACATCCTTGTCTTAATTCTATGGTAATCAAATACCATAGCAGGCATCCTCATTGACATTCTCAGATAACTTGGTGTTCTTATTTGAGGGGAGGAAACGAAGGAATAACCAAGAAGAACCACACGGGGGCTTTTTGCCACCAAAGATGAGGCATGTAACAGATTTCTTTGCTCATGCCCTGCCATGAACATGAACGTGGAATTTCACAAAACATTCCACAGAAGCACCCATGGTTGACATTTTCGAACGCAAGCACTTTTCTTTTTTCCTTGGCATGGACAGTTGTTTACATGGCGCAGATTTTGCATTGCTCCATTTTTCCTTTCCTTGAGAGACTCATCAATTATTATTTTTTCAGCCTTTATTTTTGTCATATATTTTTTTTCCTACACATGCTAGATGGCCATATATTGTACATGTTTAATTTGGATTGTACTGTATGTATCATGTACAAAGATAAATGTAACACATCTATCATTTGGAATCTTGGATACAAAGACTAAATATAGTGTACAGCGCAGCAAGCAGCTTGTACTACAAACTGCCCACACGATGGAGGGAACACACAGACAAAGACATTGAAGACAAGAAGAACAGACCTATCAACACAACGGCGTGTGTGTTCATACAAGTGTGTGAGGACGAAATCTTGCCTGTGGAGTTTCTGTACGGAGAGCATGAAGCAGGCCTGGTTATTAAACAGGGTTTCTATTCATTTTGGTCTCTGGTGATGGGACCAAAGGACTGTTAAAAAGACAAACAGACCAGAGGGGACCTGGCGGTGTTAGTGTGTGTATGTATGTGTGCCTGTGCGTGTATAGAGGGTAGTGCCAAGAACAATGTCAGAGAAAAAAGAGAGAAGAAAGAGAGTGTGCTGAATCTTGTGCAGGTTTATGGCATTTCCCTGACTTTGTGTGCACATGACGATTGGACATTTTGTGTTGTGTGAATGTGTGCTTTCTCCATCATCATCCCACGCTCCCATCCCCCAAAACCCCTGCCTTTCTTGGGATAGGATTAAAATGAACTAAGCCTCTCTACACCCGCACATTACTGAACCACAAGGGTTCTGGAGCGATGCGGGTTTCCGGGACTCCAAGGGGACAATGCGACCAAAAGATCAAGAGGATTCCAGAACCAAGAGGATTCCAGGATGCCTGGTCAAGTTTGGAATTCCAGAATGGGGTTTGGGGGGGACGTATGAATCCTAAGCCACCAGAGCTCGACTGTCAGCAGTGTCGCATAGTGGCGTTACAGGGCACATGAGCTGTTTCTGTTATTTGCCGTCCTCATTTTCACACGCCGTCTCTTTGGTCTCACAGGGTAGCTGCGATCAGCTCCCTCCTCCTCCTCCTCCTTCTCCTCCTTTCCGCTCGTTCCTCTCCTCCTCCTCCTCCCTTCATCACCGTTGGAGCACACACTCCATCTGTCTCTCTGCATTCAGCATCATCTCTAATTTTCACTCCCCTAACCCTCTCTTCTGGCAACACACAGTAGCGCACTTTTACTGCAACCTCTCTCTGTTTTCACACGTAGCATTGCCTCTGTTATCTTCCCTTCACTTTTGTGACACACCATCCCCTTTCTCTACCACATCTCTTTTCTCTCCTCCTCTTCTCCACCTCTCTGCATTCAGTCTATGCATCTGAGCTTGGCAGGCGACACGACACCGGATGAATGTCAATGAATGACTGTTAAGAACATTGATGCTGTGCTTTATTTCAGAGTGAACAAAACATTGTTTTATCAGCGCTTATCTTATGCCTTCTCTCTTTCTTGCTCTCTGAGTTTTTATACTTTTTCTTTAACTTGCTTTGGAGTATCCATGTAAGATGAAATTGACATGGATGGATGAATGATTGGATAGGATATGTGTGTGAACAGAAAAAGGCAGGGTTTGAATGTGGATTTGGACAAACGACCTTGACATTTGGAAGCTGAACAGACCACCCTGAAGTCTCTGGCTGACCCTCACTTCTGGATTACTGTCTGAGAATTAAGATTACTAGTGGTTCAGCTCAAACACCTGATTTATCCGTTGCATGGATGGACTGTGTGGAGAGAGGAAAGAACCTTTCATCTCTTGACTCCTAGTCGTCAAACTATCCCTCGGTGCTATTGAGTCGGAGTTCCCCCTAATGATGGAAAGGAGAAACCACAAATAACAGGAGCGTAAAAACAAACTCCTTCACACACATCCCTCAGTCTTTCAGGTCTTTGTGGCAAAAAAAAAAGAGATAAAGATTTGAAAAGTGCATAAATCTATCACCATCTATGATGACTAGTCAAGTGACGCTTGTTTTAAATATTTAGTGAATGAAAAAGATAAACCTATAAAACTCTGTGTTTGTTTGCCTTGTATACTGAATCATGGGCGTGTTGCTGCAGCGCCTTCTGTGTTTTTTTATTTGTTATTTTTTTTATTTGAACTGCCTTTGTAGTACACTCAACAAACACAAGCTTTCTCAAAACCTGGCCAAAGCATGGTAAAGGGAGTATTTTTAAACCTGTAAAGGACTTCTGTTGTTCCCAGTGTGTGCTACAAGTGACTCCAATATCTAAAGTATTTAACTAACAAATAGTTTGCCCAAATCTGAACACACTGACCACATTCACACGGTGACTTTTGTCAATCGTAAGACTTAAAAAACTTGGAATACAGTGGTCTGTTTTAACATTATTTCCTGAGAGGGATGTCAGAGGATAACAGCCACAGTGTGAATATGGTTATTGTAAGACAAGGTCAGGCAGGGTAGTGATCAGAAAAGTGAAGTTGATGAAACTACATTATTTGAAATGTACTCATGGCTTTTGTTCAAAATTCTGGAACAGAGACAACAAGTACAGTGTTAGGAGAGAGGACATTTGTTTCAGGGTGTATACAGAGTGCAACTAAATATGGCGTATACTATATTAGGAGAAATGTGCCACCTTCAGCATATGTTCAGGATCAGCAAACAACACTGTTCCTGTGTAGACAGATGGCAGATTTCTTCAACCCGCCTGTCAAAACCGGAGGTACAAACAATAAAAGAAAAGACATGTGTACACTGGTGAAAGGATGCCAAGCCCTACGTACGGATACAATCATCTAAAATTTAGAGAAAAGTGTCTATTTATGAAAATTTTATAAATATTTTTGAGGCAGAGTTGTGAAGGCATAAATGATCTTATTGTTCTGCTTGGACATCAATGGAAATGTGGTGCCATATTTTTGCTACTGTTTACTTATTTTAATAACCAACATACTGAAAAAGAAACAATTTGCCCTCATTGAATTTGGTTGATCCCCCGGTCCTTCCCATAGGCAGGACGGGCAGATATGGTACCTTGAAGTAGCTGGGATTTAATCGACCATTAAGAATATTTAAGCCTAAAAGACGGCTCTGCCTCCAAGAACTGTCCGTAGAATTGAATTGACAATATATTATATTGAAAATGTCTTTCTATAAAGTGTAAAAATAGAGCTGACATGAGATATATATTAAATATATAGTCCATTTTTCCCATCTTAAGGAAAAAGGTAGGGAGAGGAAAGGGAAGGGGAGAAGGTTTGATTCTGTCAAATGTTTTGAGATTGCCATCACATATTCCCTCATCTTTACCTGCACCTCCCCTCTCTTTCCTCTCAGCTGTCGTGTGACTCAGAAGAGTTATTATATAAAAAAAAGCTTTTCCCCTCACTCTCTTGTTAAAAGGTATGGCACAGCCAGAAAGTACAGAACACTGCAATTGGCCATTAGTTTGGTTTGATTTTACAGTTATTTCCTGTGGACACAGACAACAGCCAAGTAGGGAAATAGCAACCTGAGCAATGTTGCTACTATACATATAGGCTATTAGAGCAATCTTGATAAGTGAGCCTCAAAGGTGAACACTTTTCTCTAACTATTGACCTATGTTTACATCTTTATCTTTTGTAATTAGCGTTAATTGGTCAGTCTGTTCCCAGATTATTTTGTTATGATTTATGGAATTTGGGTGTTGGTACAAGAGAGTGAAAAAGGGTGAAAAGAACAACAGAGTACGACGGATAATGCTAGCAGATTTGGGCCAAAGAGAATCTTGAATTTAAGGGGTTGCCAGAGGTTGGGGGTTTACACTGTTTGGATATGTTATGGGTACTTTTGAGTAGAAACTGATGTCCCTTGCATGTAAACCCCCTCCTCCGGCCTATGAAAGCAAATATAAACTCCACTTCAACCCCAGTTAAGGGGCTTTACAGGCAGCTTTTAAAGACACAGAGATTAAAAAAAATTAGAGAACATAAATAGAGAGAGAAACAGACAGAGTTATTGGAATTAATTCTATTTTTGTTATTCCCCATTGACAAAGACATATTTAAAGGAATATTCCATGTATGTATTGAATAACCTGTTTCCCTGCCCCATCCAGTGGTGTGATCTGTAGCTGCAAGGTGGCGTCACACACAAAAGCTCCCCTCTGCAGCCAGGACATGCCAATGTGATGAAATGATAATTATATCATTATAAATAAATTATTTTTCTTGCTTAAAAAAACCCCAGTGTTTTTCCTAATTCCCGCCTGTTGTTTGTGCTTTGCACCCTTGCTTGTCTTCAAGGTTACTTTCTGCATCCGTATTAATGAGTTTCCCTCAAGACTCAACCACACTTCTGTTAATTAGGAGTTTCTTTCTTCACAGAGTACCAAGAGATGCTAACCCAAACCTTCTGATCCAAAGTTTACTCATTAAGGACATTTTGTCTCAACATTGCTAAGCATACTCACTAGGAGAAGTTGGGTAATAAAAGAAAATCCTCTGTATTCAGTGTAGAGAAGATATTTCATATTTGCCGCTCATTAAACAGAACCTTGAACAATTTCTAAGACAAGTTTCATATACTACTTGTTAGTCCCAAATTGATCAATTACAGATTTGTAGATGGAGATGCTGAAACAACAAAGAAGACTCCCATCCCCTCTGATTCAGATCCTGTCAATCTGTCTGTTTACCCACAGTCAGGGGAACACTAAGCTTAAGGTAAAGCTATACAGTTGGAACCTTAAGACCCTCGTCATTATTATTTATATTGTGCTTCAGAGTTTGAGACGGGGCTGCAAGGCAAATTTGTTACTGTACTAAGTAAAATGACATCACTTTTGTGAACACTGCTTAATGAAATTCCCATTTTTGAAAAATTTAAGTAGTTTTTGGCATCTGAAAAGGTGGTGATATAAGACCTTGTACTGTTGTCTAAGCCTTGGCGTCCTGAAATTTTGGCCGGATCCATGCCTTCTGGCAGATACTAGACAAAGTCTTGGGGTCCTATTCTTGAGAAACCTTTCAGCTCAGGATCTACCACAAAGTCGATGATCTTTAAATCAACCAATAAGCATAAAAATGACTCAAACATTTATCTACTTTTTTAACACTAAATAACTCTTGGAATATAATGAAAGCCCAAATATCCAACATGCAAAACAGTTTGGAGGATAAGTGGGTGGAATACATTTGTAGCTGTAAAAACCAGATCAGCAGTGCCAGTGTTTATTTAGAAGCATCAGTTTGCATGCATATTCAAAGCCTTGGGAGATGCTGGAGTTGTATCTGTAATTTTGTTTATATGGTGTACACTGTCGGAGCTCTGGGCGGAAAAAAAAAGTTTGTTTTCATAATCAGTTGCCCTCTCCTCCATGACGTAGGGAGTCAGCGCCCACTGCAAAAAACAAACTTCCCTAATTATCTTACCAAGACTTTCCTGGGCTGTCTCATTTAAGTGGGTGTGTAAGTGTGTGCTGTCATTGTGAGGACCAATTATCAAATTATGTTTTGTGAGGACGTTTGTGAAAAGTTACAACATTTTATTAAATCATTACATTGTGAAAGGTCAGTTTAGTCCTAAGTTATTTTGATATTTCAGTTAGTGTTGGGGGCTTGGGATTTATTATTGCCCCATTAGGGCAGATAGTAGATTTTCTGAAATTTAAAAAGGGCATATTTGTGTGTGTGTGTGTGTGTGTGTGTGTGTGTGTGTGTGTGTGTGTGTGTGTGTGTGTGTGTGTGTGTGTGTGTGTGTGTGTGTGTGTGTGTTTGGTTGTCCATCAGGGCTTCTTCTGCAGAGTGTTTAATCTTCCAGCTCTATAATGACATTCTCTCAGTTAATTGCTTCCTTCCTACACAAACACGCACATCCATTCACACACACACATTCACTCACACACGCACACACACCAACAAAAAAACCCAACATGCACGCGCATCGTTTTCACCCTCTGTGGTGATAACTGTTTCTCTTTGGACACGAGAGCCATCTAGTGGCTTTAAATGATCAGTGCAACACATAAACACATTCTAAATGAAATCATTTATATAATATGATTAATTCTTATGTAATTAAAGGGAAACTTGCACTTGTACTATAAAGTTAGACAAAAACAATAACACAAAGAAAACAGGAATCTATGTATGTTTACATATTGATTGGATTAAAACATTTTTTTTAGATCCAAGATTCTCTCATAAATTACTAAAATACTGGAAAGAGGAGAGAGAGAAAACATTAAAGCGGTAGTGATACATATTTATAATTGACTGATACCTTAAAAGATAATGTTAAAGATAATTTTGTGTTTTTAATCTAATTTGTGGTCTCATAGCTTTCTTATATTTTAACTTGACTAGAGAAATGCTGGAGAGGGTTAAGTCAGTTAGATGTAAGGTAAAATGCTTAAAACATAACAAATACATCACATAAAAATAAGTATTGAACTGTTTTCCTTGATAGGAGGTCCTGCTTATGAAACCAAAATACAGAATTTAGAATAAGTATTAGTAAGAATTATTGAAAATATATTCTTTGTTGAGGCCACATTAATGTATTTTCTGTTTATATTCTATTTTGCGTTTCTTAAACTTACTTTAATGCACATTTAACCATCCTACACAGTGATGTTTCTAAGCACTGAGTACACTTACTGAAGCACAAGGTGAGAAGTTAAAACACTAGAGGTCAGCAGAGACAACATAGTAGCTGTAAAGTCACAGCAGGGAAAAACCTTAAAACATTTTTTATTGTGTAGTCTCTGTATGTCAGAAAACAATACTGCTATATTAGATTATTTTCAAAAATGTAAACAGGTGTGTGAGAAGGAAAAAAAATAGCAGAAACAGATATATATCTTTACCCATCACAATGATTATTTTATCGTATATGTATAATAATTTAATACAGATAATGTGGTTTAAACAGATTCCAATCAGTGTACATATAGATATTAGTAAAGGTCATGAACTGTGGGCACTTCCAGAGTGGACAGTGTGTTTGTGTGTGTGCGTGTGTGTAAGCTGATTCAGCAGAGTGATTACTGTAACAGCTTCATAATAAAATGCTCAAATTTAATTACATCTCTGTCTATTGCTGCCTCGGACACAAATATGCACACATACACACACATACAGTGTGTGTTTTCATCACTGAAGAGGACATCCCATTGACTCACATTCACTTTTGCGAGACATACCTCAATTTTAATCATAACTCCTGTTTGTGTTGGCCTAGCTTGGACTTAAAGCTAGCCTTAAACAGAGCTTGATTTTTCAAATTCAACAAATTGCCTAATGAGGGCTTGCAGAACATTTTGTCCCCAAATGCAATGTGGGTCCCCGCAATTTGTGTAATCAGATTAATGACCCCACATTGTCAATAAAACCAGGTGACACACACACACACTAAAAACCCAAACAGCAGGGAAGGTTCTGTCATCATGGCCAAACTACCAAGCTCCACTCTTCCTGTTTCTGACAGTCCAGAGCATGCCATGTTATCTATGACACACACGCACTTGACGCACGCATGCATTCACGCACACATGGGAAGCAGCTAAAACAGGAAGTACTGACAGCAATCTGTACTCAAAACAGAGACAGAAAAGAGTGAGATGAGAAATGATCACTTCCTGGAGATTTTTTACAAGTCAGAGATTATTCACAAATTAAATTATTCAAAAGAAGAGGAGATGAAAGAGGAAAAATGAGAGGGAGGGAAATGGTTTTTAAAGCCAAGAAACTGTTGAGTAAATTGCAGTAGAAGAGGAAAAGAGAGAGGAAGTGGAACCAAAACAGAAACAGGGAGGGATGAGGGAGTGAATTCATGTGGGGAGGAGAAAGAGGGGTGGAGGGAGGAGTAACGGCAAGTGCAGGAGAGAAGGAGGAGTGGAGAAGAGAGAAAGCAGCAACATTTGAAAGGAGAGGAAGCAACAGAAAGAGGGGAAAGAAGAAGATTTAAAGTTTTTTTTAACAGCCTGGTTATTGGGAGTACCTGTGAAGACGAGGAAGGGCCACACACACATGCAGACGCCTGACTGATGCTCCTACTGGATGGACTATTCACATCCAGTTCGCCTCCTCCTCTTCCTCCAGCCGTGCACGTAGAGGATCGACCTGTGCGATCAGACATGCATTTCTTCTATGTGGTAGGTGACACATGTGTGTGCGTGGATCTGGTTGCATGTGTGTGTAAGTGTGTTTATGTATGTTTGTTTTTGTTGCTGTGCAAAACCTCATTCTGCATTTTTTCCATTTTATGTGAAATATGCTGACAGGCTGGGAACTTGTCTGTGAAATGCTGAGAAATGGAAAAAAAACATTGCTATAATTTGTGTGGTTTTTTTTTTTGTAAAAAAACCCCAAATCTTGCGTGTGGTATAACTGTTGATCACAACTTTTTCATTTCTACATCAGTCATGAAAAAAGATAAAAGTCATCAAAAAGCAACATGATAAGTAAAATCTCTGATTTTATCTCAGTTTATCAGGTTTTTTTTTCAGGCTTTAGTCATTCGTGTTTCATTAAATTCAGCCGGATTTGGTCGAGCTTATTTATAACAACAATTTGAAAATGTTGTCACTAGACCAAAAGACACAACTCCAGTATGATTAAAGTGAAATAACGTAGTACGTAACCTAAAGAATAGACTGTGCTTGTTTGTCTTGTAAAGTGGGGACTGTAGTTCTTTAATCGTCCATTTTTCATTTAACGCAACTAGATTGTGTCAAGCTACTTTTTACAAAACTTTCCAATCACACAAAAAGTCACAACTCATAAAAAGTTGTTTATCTTGTAAAGTGGGGACCGTTGTACGTTAAAACTCCCTGGATATCGTTAAAGTAGTTCATGTCTCATAACTATTCTCAAACTTTAAGACACCATTTCTATTCAATAAATCAAAAGTTGAATTACGACACAAGCAAGCTGCAAATAGGGTCTCCTTTTATGGACTTGGAATCAAAGGCTCCAACTCTGATTACATGTTTATTAGTCACCTGAAGTCTATGGTTCTTTTTATATCCATGTTTTTTATTGCACTGTCATCAAACTTGGCTGGGTTTCCTGTCAGTAAGCTTCAAACTTTGCCCCTAACGACACTGCTCCTGTAATATATATAAAAAACAGTTAAATCATTTCTTATTTGGCCTCCAGGACCGAAATCATCAAATTGGAATGACCTCTGTGTAGTTTCCTTGTGTTGTAAATGGCTTAAAATGATAATTTTAATGTAAT